GGGGGGGGGGGGGGGGGGGGGGTCGTGGTTAAAAGTAAAGTCTTGATGTTGACCGATTGATTCATTAATCCGTTCATTGTGGGTAGTTAGGGGTCAGACTGTCGATGTGTCTGTGGCGGCACCATTGATGCGATGCGTGGATTGATGGAATGGAATGCAGAGGAAGAGGCTGCCACTTGGTTCCATGGACGTGAGACATTTTCTCAACCACGGGGGGATTGCTGTGCGCTGTCGACAGTGGTCTCTGTTGGCTGCTTTTCTGTCCCTGTCCTGTACCATAATGATGCATTGCATGCTCACCCATGACATACGTATGCCCACCACACTCACACCCCGGCCCCCACTGTAATGTTGTATTGCAAGGCTCGTTTTACCTCCCGAGTCAGTCGACTGGTCGTCGTGTTGACACGCCTACATGTTCGATCGGTCTGTTGGTGCACACCCGTTTCTGTCGGGGGTTTCTGGTCACCCTGGGTCACCAGCAGTCTTCCTTCTCTCGTCACGGTGAGAGGAAGCTGCAGGTTGCCCAGCCGAGGCTGAAACCCTCACAGATGAGATGAGCGGCGCTGTGTCTATCGATCAGCGGCAGACACGCAGTCAGTACAAATATAGATTGCTGGGGTCATTTGCTGGACGTCTGCTTACTCTACGTGTGCTGACCGATTGGATTGCTCATCACGATGAATAAAATGGATGGAGGGATGGATCAAGGTTTGTCCTTCACTGCTGACCCGCACGCACTGCTGTCTCCAGATGGATCCATGTGGAGACAAAAGCGGATGAGGACCAGCGAAGGCGTATCTCACACGACATGACGGCACTCACATCGTCCAACAAAGCCAGTGTAGCCGCACAAAAACGGCGACTAACCGGCCAGCTCTCCCACACCGACACAGAAACGTCTCACAGAGACAGGCACACAGGCACGGTTCACCTCAATGGCCTTCCGCCAAATGCCTTACTCACACACAGCCAGAGAACCCACGAGCGCATCAGCTGCTGCCTCCCATCCCGACTGTCCTCGGCAGCACAAAATCCCGCTTATGCGACAGCTTCGGCCGCTTGGACAGGATGGCGTCAATGGCAGACACGTCAGCGGGTCGCAAAGCAGCGTACTGGCCGGGCTTGAGTGAACGACGCTGGCTGACGGCGGCTGAACCCTTCACGTCGTGAGCATCCTCACGGAGCGCTGAGCGCATCGTCTCAGTCGGAGAGGTCCTCTGAGAGAGAGGAACGGCGCACGACAAACACTGAATGTCAGTCAGTGCTCTTTTCGTGGTTTTAGCCGTGAGCTCACCTCCGCAACGGCCGCCAGCTCGTCGAACCCAGACGCGGAGAGAACAGCGGCAATGGTCTGGAAAGGTGTCGCACACAAGTCCTCGTAGCGCACACATGCCTGGACGGGCATCGCCTGGCCCTCGTGCTGCCGAACCACATCGCCGATCTCCTCCATGCAGTCAATCTGAACGAAGAGTCAGTAATTCCACACAATCAACATATGCAAATTACTCGATTGTCTCGGTCTTGCCTCTCCCATACCACACCCTCCCTTCCACCCACCCATTCAGTGGCTGAGTGAGAGGCCTGGCGTGCCCATGTTGGCCAGCGCCGCATACATGCCCGGATCCTTCATGCAGCGGGACATCATGCGCATCACACGCCACAGCTCCCCTGAGCCGAAGTAGCGGTCGAGATGCAGCCGTCTCATAAGCCGCGCCGGCGGGAAGTACGCCAGGATCATGGCCGTGAAGGAGTCCAGGGTGTCGTGGGCGTTGCGGTAGAGCATCACACCCTTGGCCTCGGGCAACGCCTGGTGCAGCATGTCGACGGCCAGGCAGCTGACCGACCGGAACTTGATCACCAGCACTCGGGACGAGGGGAGGCCGCCACTGAGAGAGCGTTGAAGATACTGCTGCTGGTAGAGCAGGAGCCAGGCTGCGGTGCTTCGCAGGATGGCGCACCAGATCTCTCGCTGTGCCATCTCGTTTCGGTCTGGCGGGGGGAGGCCGGGGATGCTCGGGATGACCTGAGCCTCGTAGAGGGGGACGGAAGTGATGACGTCGGGCTCAGACAGCGATGTGATTCCTTGGCCAATGGTCGAGAGTATTTTGCTGAAGAAGGTGGAGCCACACCTGCCCGTGTTGTAGAGCAGCATCACGTTGGGCAGCTGCGAGGGAAAGTCGACATCAAAACCGGCGTTGGAGCCGGTGGCCAGGCAGCCTCGGACCACTGACGGATCGAGGATCTTGACGAAATCGTCTGCATGGAAAGGGCAAGGAAATAAGGACGGTTGACCTCTGTCTGTCTGTGATGTTTGTTCCTCACGATATGGGAGTGAGGCCATTCTGCAACTATGTTGCCGCTGGGCCACGTAGACAAACTCCTAAACACACACACACAGAAGGACACACAGCTGACAAATGGCATTGATGGCATGAGTACTGATGCGCTAACCGCAGTTGTCAAGTCGACGTCGGCAGGCGTCTCCACCATGACCACAAACCGCCCGGCTGCCTCCACACAGAAGGGCGTCCAGTAGCTGTTGGCCGAGCCGCTCACCACCATCTGCACAAACTCCGCAAAGCTCATGGCCTGCTCGACGCTGATGTCCTCTCCCAGGTCCCGCATGTCCACCAGATCAAAGATCTGCGTCGCCTTGATCTTGGTGCGGCTGGAGATGATGCACGGCTTGAGGCACAGTGCTGCAGCACTTGCAAGTAGCGCTGCTTCTGCCTCGTGCGGCGCCTCCGGTGGAGCAACACGAGGACAGAGGCTGCTGCAGCACTGAGGCCGAGCGCGGTCAACCAGCGGGGTTCGAGCATGATGCAGAAAAATGGGCGGAAGGGAATCAGACGAGAGATCTCGCACCCGCGAGGCACAGTGATGAGTCAGAAGACGCCAAGGACCTTGTATCCTGTTTGCATGCAAGCTCGCAATTATTCGACCGGGAGCTCGCAGTCGTGAAGCGAAAGAAGAGCGACTTTTGGCGCCTGACTCAGCTTCCTCAAGCAAGCACGAGTCGACTGCTATCTGTTTTGACTGTTGCCAATCATTCGGTCGTCTGACGCTCACTGGACGCTCATCCTCCAGCGAACAGCACACCCTTCCTTACAGCATGAAAGGTCCCTCCGAACCGTCCCTCACCGCCAAGAGCCCGGCAGACAGCGGCACTCAGACAGACAAGCCCTGGCACTGGCAGATCAACGTGGGCGGCATCACCATGGAGTTCCCTCGTGATTTGCTGCTCCAAGATGGCCTCAAGGACAGATGTTTGGCTGTGCTGCTGAACCGCTTCGATGAGTCGCTGCTCAAGGACACCGACGGCATCCCCTTCATCGACGCTGACCCTCGCTACTTCATCTGGTGGGCGGGAAGCAATAAGGCATGATGTTCGGCGACGTGTGCGGCGGATTGATCTTTTGTGTGTCTGTGTGTGTGTCAAGAATTTCGGTCTCCTCAAGGCGGGTTTCATCAAGGGCATCCAGCTGTTCTCTGACGACTCCCCCACTCACGCCTTCTACCACGACCGATTCTTCGCCAAGACGACACTCAGCATGACGCCACAGGACGACAAGCGCAGTGAGGCCTTCCAGAACTTCATGGCGGTGATGGGTGGCTTCATCAAGTCATCAGTCGGCGGGACGGGCGGCTATGAGGTGCTGAGCGTACGTGTGAACGGCACTACCGTGGCCACCACTGATGCCACTCTGGACGACCACAGCACATTGAAGGACCGATTCAACAAGTGGGTCAATGAGCATTGCAGAGAAGGAGGAAGGAGATGACGTAGTAGTCACTGGATTTGCCGCTCTGTGTTCGTGTGTGTGTAGGTATGGGGGGCCCGTCGACGACGTGTCCATTGAGCACTTCCACAAGTAACACCAAACACCGCGGCCACACAATGAGGTCACGCATTCATCCTTGCCTCTGTCTGTCTGTCTGTTTGTCTGTCTGTCTGTCTGTTTGCAGAGTCGTGGATTTCCTTCGTCGCCGTCGCCTGGCCGCCCCCGACGCCGTCACGCCCCTCCCCACCACCGACGACTGGCCGCAGCTGCTGAGTGCCTTTGAGATGTACAACCTGATGGACTGTGTGTACCTGGCCATGATCGGCAAATCGCACAGCACCATACGCTGCCTCTTCAGGTGAGCACACACAGCAGAGAGAACGAGAACACACAACAGATAGGATCTGTTTATGTGTGTGGGTGTGTCAGCATGGCTGGTCGCACGAGGCTCTGTTCAACCGAGTGGCGGGCGCGAAGGGCGGTCTGCTCTTCGTCGTCGAAGCTGAGTGTGAGAGTGAGGGCCACCGCCACATCTTCGCGTGCCTCATCGACGGCCCCCTCATCGCGCCAGCCGACCCTACAGCAGCGGTGCACACCGGCCGCGCCATCACCTTCTACTCCATCAGTGGCGCGTTCAAGGACGAGAGCATCGTCAACATCACAGTGCCGCACGACTGGCAGCGTGTGGAGGTCGCCGGCACGGATGGGGCGGTCAAGGGCACCAAGGGTGTGGGTGCCAATGTGGTCATCGGTGACGGCCGCTTGCGTTTGGGGTATGGAGGGATTGATGGTCGTTCGGCCACCGACCTCCACAGCTGCGAGCAGCGGGTGAAGAGGGACGAGCTGCCCGCCGGCAAAACATACCTGGACAGCTACGAAACCAACGGATGGGCCACTCTGGCGGGCAGCCATTGCTTCACCGCCCAGCGGCTGGAGGTGTATGAGGTCAGTCAGACCTCAAAGGAGGGGGACTGAGTTGATGTGTCCATGATGGACCGTTGTTGTCTGTGTGTCTGTCTGTCTGTCTGTGTGCAGGTGTTGACGACTCGTCCGGCCGACCCCATTCTGTCTGATGCGAAGCTGCAGGAGCTCATCGACATGACGGGCAATACCAATGCGACGGGGAAGCTGCTGTACAAGTGAGTGACCAGCCCACCGACAGAAGCAGTAGTGATGTCACTGATTCGCTCTCTCTCTCTCTCTCTCTGTGTGTGTGTGTGTGTGTGTGTCTCAGGGGTGCCCGCGACGGCTGGAAGTACCCCACCATGGTGGCCAAGGTGGGCACCGCCACCAACCTGCTGCTGCTCATCAAGGACACCGGCGACCACATCATCGCCGCCCACATCAACGGACAGCTTAAGCAGCCCGCCGACCTCACTGCCGTGGAGACGACCAAGTGCCCCGTGGCCTTCTACTCGGTGTGTGGCGCCTTCAGCGAGGCCGACGGCATCGTCGAGATCGAATTGTCGGAGGACCAGCAGTATGTGGTGGTCGCCGGCACATACGCCGGCACACAGGGGGCGGCCAAAAGCACCAAGGGTGTTGCCAATTTGTGCATCGGCGAGTGGCCCGGCTGCCTGGGGCTGGGGTGCTGCCTGTGGCTGGGGTATGGACAGAATGGTCGTCCAGCTGGCGACCTGCGTCGCTGCAAGCAGTTGATGAGCACGTGTGTGGTGGAGAGTTACGAGCTGCCCGGCGGCAAGACCTACCTGGGCAACTACCCGAGCATCACCAGCGGAGACGCCACCTTGGCTGCTGCTCAGTTCTTCACTTGTGTGGACATGGAGGTCTACACACTGCAGCAGGTGGGGCAGACAGACAGCTGGATGAGACGAGAGCAAGACCGGAGAGAAGTTGGGTACACATACACGGCACTGTGGTTTCCTGTGGCCTCCTGATTGCCTTTCAGCCTTCGAGTGTCACGTCGACCGGCAGCGGCTGAGTGAGTGATGGGGGAGGAGCAGTGCGGTGGGGTTGGTCGTGGACGTGCGGCGGTGTGCCTCATGGGAGTGAATGGAGAGACAGAGGGCAGGGGAGGAGAGGGCACACCGGCTGTGTGTCTGTGTTGCCTCTGCTTGGATCGATTCGCTCTTTTATCCATCCTTCACGTTCATGCATATGCGGTCAGTCTGTGCGTGATTGAGTGGATTTAAACGCGCCCGACGGCCACCTGCCTGTCCGCAATTGACTCCCTTTATCCATCCCTATGCTGCATTGCATGCTCGGCTGCATGGACGTACGTACAGACTTTTGTGGACTGACATGCAATTCGATCTGAATGCTGCGTGTGTATCGTTTGAGTCATGTGAATCCACCCAGTCACGATGATCTGTCCCTCTCATTCCTCCTCTCATCGATGGCTGTTTGCCTTACCGCGGCAGGCTGCTGTTCCTCCGGCAACAAAAACGAGTCAGAGCTAAATCGTTTCACGGACTCGATGTAAATCTCTTTCCAGGGATATGAACAGAGGAGGGGCGAGTTGTTCGTCGAGGGAGGCGCACAGGCACCCCGCTGCCGGATCATCAAGTGAGCGGAATAAGGCAGCCACCCTTATCGCCGTTTGTCACTGTGTGCGGCTGTGGCTGCCTGCAGGACCATGGCGGAGGAGATCTTTGTCGTTTCGTCTTCTCCTGGCTGTGGCTGCGGCTCTGTCGACGCCCTCGGCAACAGTCGAGGGGACAGAGCAGGTGCGCTTCCTTCTGATCTCGTCTGCATCGGAGAGGCGTGTGTCGTACATTCCCATCCAGGGGGAGGGGCCCCTCACCACACACATGGACCTGCGACCACTCATTAGTGTCAGTCGGCAAGAGGAGCAGCAGAAGGATAAGGAGAATGAAGACGAAGAGCCAGCAGCAGCCCAGCAGCAGCCGGACACCAAGGCCCCGCCCTTTCTGGCGCAGCCGGCGGGCATCTGTGTGGACAAGCGGGCACATCGGCTCTATGTTGCTGAACCGCTCAGTCGCATGATCCTCTGGTATGGTCTGGCGGTGAAGGATGGCCAGCTGACAGCGGACGACGGGCCCCATGTGGCACAGGACAACGTGGATGCTCGGTGGGTGGCCGTGGATGGGGCGGGGGACCTCTTCTGGACGGATAGCGACAACAACAAAATAATGGTGGGCCCGACCTGACAAGAGAGGACACGGCATCTAGCCTTGGCTTTTGTGGGTTTGTGCCCGTGCAGAAGGTGTCCACAGCGTGTTTATCGGACTCCGCCAATGCCTCCAAGCAGCCGTGCAACGCCACAGATGTCAACGGCACTGCAATGGAGCTTTACTCTGCACCGATCACCAACCAAGTCTCAGAACCAGCAGGCAAAACCATATGCACGCCTTCCGGTCTTTCCAATCATTCGAGTCTCCTATTTTGTTTTGTCTGTCCGGCAGGCGTCAAAGCGGACGTCAACCACGTCTATTGGGGCAACCAAGTAGCGGGCATGCAAGACGGGTCAGTGCAGGCGAGACACGACAAAGCTCACGTGCGCACCTGCTAGGCTTTGTCGTTGTCTTCATCTAATTGTCGGCAGCGCACTCATCAAGGGCAACAAGACGACGGCAGGCGGGCTCAAGGTTCACACGCTGGCCAACAACACTGAGAAGGCCATCGGCGTCTGCGTGGCACCCAGACACATATTCTACACTGACGGGTGGGTGCGTGGTGACGAGCACATCTCGCCATGATCTCTTTCGTCCGCTTTGGTTCTTGTGCGTGCATTTGTAGTGAGTATGGTCGCATCTACGGTGTTCGTAAGGGTGGTTCAGCGGTGACAGTGGTGGCGCAGACAGGCCTATCGCAGCCCAGGGGGTGCACATGGGATGACGACAACACCATTTTCGTCGCAGGTATGCATGTGTGCAGACACATGGGACGGGCCAGGTGTTTGGTGAATATATGTATCTCCCCTGCAGATAAGGGCTTGGGAACTGTGTGGTCATTTGCTGCTGGGACCAGCCTCGCACCTAGAATGCTATCAAAGGTGGCTGAGTGCCTGCACGGGTGAGTGTATGTGTGCAGGTGTTCCTTTCCCTGTGTTTTGTGCAGCATCTGCCCGACCACTCGTTTCCTGGTGCGCTTGACGTGGCGCATTATGCCGTCGAGGCGCCGCAGTCGGACTCGATCATCACCAAAACCGTCAAATACGTCTCATCAAGTGAGCCAAGAAAGAATGTCGTCATGTGGGTGTTGTGTGCAATGTGTCTTCTCCGTCTGTCTGTCTGGTCCGTGCAGTATTCGGCGGTGGGTGGACCAAGTAGCTTTGTTGGAGGCCATGCGTGTCCACAGAGACGAGGGCGTGCACGACCCAGTGTATGTCATATGACGCGTAGTAGGGTGGAGAGGGATAGACCTCATTTCATGGATATCGTGCGTGAATCGTTGATGTTGTCACATAGGGCTCATTGAAGGTCTCTGGGTTGCCTAGCTGACAGCGGGCCCAGTGGCTTGAATCAATCACACACACACACGCTCGCGCACCGATTCTCGTCGAATGCGTGTGGCTAAGTGCATTAAACTATTCTTAAGAAGCGCATTGACTCCAATCATATGTGTGTGCATTCATTCCCTGATGGACAAGTCTCCTCCTAATGTGGCCTTTATGGTGGACTGTCAGTCGTCAACAGCTGCAAATCGCACCTCAGTGTTGGGGTCACGGCGATAGCACTTTTTGATCGATCCGTGTGGCAGATAGACGAGGCCACACACACATGAATTGAATGCACACATCCGGGTGTCTGAGTCTGAGTGCACATCCATCTTTGGATGGGATGGATGGTCGTGCTGATCAAAATTTTGCACGTCAGAGAGCTGGAAGGGGTGGGTGGGTAGGGGGGTGG